GTTTCTGCAGAGCCTCTCAAGTTTGGCTGACAGCATCATCAAGAGCAAAGAGGGTAAGTTGGGAACAGTAGTGAGAGGAAATGATAGAAATGTACACAAGATTTTTTCCACAGGTACAAATTTTAAAAAAGTGCAAAACAGAGAAAGGGAGAAAAGGAGGCACTTGTTTGAAATTGTCAAAAATGTTTCACAAATATTGTGAATAGTTCTGGCTCAGTCATAACTATGAGGCTCAGCAGTTTCTTACTGAACTGAGTGGATGTGTTTTAAATCTAGTCTCCCCTGCCATCATCTCCCAAGACTGGACTGGCACCAATGAATGTTGGTTAATTGCAAGGAGTTCTGTGTTTTTTAAAAACTGGGATCCCTCTAGTCTGGCTTCTCTCTTTGTAGGAAAGCAGCACTTTACAACCAACGTGTCCAAGACAAGTACAGACTATTGCAGTTATTTCAGTGTCTTAAAACATGTCCTGGTTTATTATATCAAAAAACATTTTGAATAAGAGTGAAAACAAAAAAAAACAAAACAAAAGCCACCACAGATCTATAAACCAACAACGGATTAGGAAATATTTACAAAACCCAGTGCCTTCTTCAGTTAAAGTTACCATTTTTTAATTTTTAAAATCCTCTTGAGATGTTTGTGGAACACAATGCTACAGCAAAACATTGATGTCTTATGCTTAAAAAGAAACTTACATGAAGGTGCAAAAATTATGCAGGGCTTGCACTGTCAGAGAACTATTTGATGCAAATTGCATTAGGCTTTTGCTGCATGGTACAGATGTGGGAGGAGAAAGGCTTGGTAAGCTTTAGGCCAAGCCAGGGACTATGTTCTACCACACCCTTGCATCAAATCATTGTCAACAAAGGGATCAAAGCGTATTGTTGGGGGAGCAGAAGAGAGCCTTCCAAGAAGAATCCCACATTACTCTGAACATAATGAAAGTGAACGCAGTCACATTTTTGACAGGAATGGCCTGAAGAGTCATGTGCCTTGGGAGAATCTATGTTCTGTTTCCTATGCTTGCACAAGAAACTGAATTGCTGCAAGGGAGAAAGAAAGAAAGAAAGAAAGAAAGAAAGAAAGAGACAGCTGAAAGCCTTTGGGGTTCAAAAGTATAGAGATCAGGAATGTCATATTATCAATGTTTGCTTTTAGTGTTGAAGGTCTTTAGCATATGCAACAGTGCAGCTGTTCTTTTACAGATCCCAAAACAGGGAACTATCAGAATGAGAAGGCATTCTATGATTTTTATGTATTTATTTTTAATGCCTTTTTTTGTAAAGTTGCACACAGTATTTTTTTTAAATTAGAGTTTAAAATGAGTATTTTAAAAAAGTATTCTGGAGAGGCAAGAAAAATTGTTTTTGAATAAACTGCGTGGCTCCATACACCACTAGTTTTGGGCCTAGTAGAAATCGGACACTTTTTTTGTGAAAAAATTGAAAAGTTATTTAAACTCTGTTTTTCACAGATAATAATACTGATCGGATCTGAAAGAAGCTGAAATTTGGAATACTAAAACTTGCACAAGGATCAGACACTAAGCTGTCAGCTTCTAACTGAAAACAAGATAACTTTTCAAAGGCTTAGACATAGGAAAATAACTCAGAATCAATCATAAAGCTAAATCGTTTCCTTAAGAGGTGTGATGCTGTTCTTGTAAATCACATTGTGGTGTAACTGTTGTGTTTTTGTCATGGCATCATATACATTTAAAAAAATAAAATGCCTGATATTTATTTTGCAACAAACAACATACAAACAACTTAACAATACCAAGGACAGTTTACAGATCATTCTTCCACAACTCATGAATCCTTTTAAAAAATGAAGACCTATACAGAAAGAAGTGGCTTTGTTTTTATTCTTTCTTTTCACCATCTTCTGGAGCTACTGGATCAGCTGGGGGTTCTTCAGCTAGGGCACTATTGCTTTCTGAACCAGTATTGCTATCACTTGTTCCTTCCTCTGCCATGCTTTCGATACCTTCTTGCCCACTCTCCTTGTCTTCAGGAGTGGATGTCCCTTCGCCATTCTGCTGACTCTCAATGGCTTCCTCTGGAGGAGGTTCTTCTACCAAAGAAGAAAAAATGCTGTCAGTGAGACTCTTCATTTGAATTACTAGAGAGTTTTTCAAGTACAAGAGAACAAACAAGAGTAAAAAACAAATAGTATACAGAGAAGAGAAAAGGGAGTTTTAAAAGCTATCAGGCATACTGTGTACATCTTAGTCAACATGTTGGTTAGCTGAATGATCAGATATATTTTGTGCAAACCATTATGTTCCTTAAGTGCTATTCTTTAGTAATGTATATACTACAATACAGTCAAATTCATAATTTGGTAAACTGGAAAGAGTGCTTACTGGAGAGATCAGAGATATGAATGAGACAGATATAAGATACACCCATTCACCAAGAGTGGTTCTCTCTCTTGCCCCAAATTCCCCACCTGAGTTAAGGCAAATTCCACCTGCAATACTTGAAATAAATACAAGCCCCCCTCTCCCAAATGCATAACCTCTGACTCATTTTTCTGAAATGAACTTCTGGCTTCTTAGGTATTGGGGGACTGCCGTGATGTCATGGAACTCTTCACAAATTAATTTATAATACATTTATATTTTCAAGATAGAAAGAACATAAATACTATATAAATATTTTTTCAAGAAAGGTAGAAAGGTTTTAGAAATTATTGTTTCTGAAAGAGGTAAGCGTGATTATTTGACGTCTGTGTGCGTGTGTGTACATATGCCATGCATGTATACATGGACAGAGATGAAAAGAAGCATGAGAACAATTTCTGCAAAACAAAGAGATCCACACAGAGGCAGTACAGATGGCTGAGAAAAACAGCCTATTTTATACACTTGTCCTCTATTAAATTTATTTCCCCCAAAGATCCTTTTAAAAGGCACCATTTACAACGGAAAACATTTCCTCTTCATCTCTGTTTTCTGATATGGGCCTGATGGTCCCCCCCAATCACCTGTTTCCATGGGGGGAGTTCCCTCTTCTTTTTTCTCCTCTGCCTTGCTGGCCACTTGCTCCTCCTCGGGGCCCGTGCTGGCCTGACTGCGCTCTGCTTGCTCTGCAGCCTCTTTCTCCCTTTCTTCCTGCCGCTTGCGGGCTTGCTCCTCGGCCTGAGCAATTTCCGCTGCAATTTTCTCCATGTCCACTTCTACCTTCAGGCTGCACAGCTAACCAGAAAAGAGAAAGGAACAGGTCACTTCTGAATCCAGGGCTCCTATCAGAATGTTTTCCTACCCTACCTCTACAATTCAAATCTTATTTTACCACAAACTCATAAAGTGGCTTTATAACAACCTATTTTTTGACCCATCCACTCCATATGCAGTATGGCAATTTTGCCAATCTAATGCTCCCTGGATATGCTGGATTTCAACTCCTATTAATTTCAGCTTTTTAAGCAAAACATGTTCATTAGTAAGTGATAATGTAGTATTCTATGCTAAAATCCCAGGGGTGTTAAGAGGGTCCTCACAAACTGACCATTTTGATTTTTTCATTCTAGCTGGTAAATGCAGAGAAGCTAATTTGTACTCTGGGCAACACACTTTCTATTGGGGATTGTGTAGCATTTTTTCTGTTTCTTTTTGGCTTGCCCACATATAGTATTTATTACATCAAATAATGCATAAAAACTTACTGGAACAGAGATACCAAAGCTACATGATCAAAGTTATGAGCTGTAGGAAATTCTGAAAGTGTACTATGATATACACTAAAATGTTGCTTTTTGAAATTGTCAGCTCTAGTTCTCCTGTGTCTAGCCAATGCTAGATTATCTCATACTGTAACTAAGAAGTCCCACAGAATCACTGAGAGTTAGGCAGGATACACATCTAATCAATTATTACTACTACTACTAGTTATTATTTTGTATATTTTCCACCTTCAAAAGATGCACTGAATACACTGTTTTCCTAGAAACAGTCCAAGGAATTGGTCTGGGCAATACCAAGAAAAATAAAATCATACTCAATATTTTTTTTTTAATTCAAAGAATACCTATCCCCAGTACAACATGAAAACACAACTATATATGTGGAGTCCTTGGGGCTCTCTGAGCATATGTCTATATCTTTAAATTCT